TGGGAACACCAGCTCGAAACTGGCAAGACATTGCGCCGCATCACTCCTTAACCTTGGTAGGATTTCTGGATCGATCACCTTCTGAGAGATTGCATTGAGGAATGAACATAGCTTCACAATGGCTAATCGAACGTTTTCCGGTAGAAGCCCCCTCAATGCAACCAGAAGTAGTTGCATCATAATCACGTGGCAGTCATGAGATTTTAGGTTCTGAAACTTTTTCTTTGCCATATTATTATTTCCTTTATATTCGACGAGTAGCCAGATGGTACCTTTATACTGAACAGACATTCAAAGAAGATTTCCTTCTCTTCTTTGATAAGAGCGTAGCTGGCAGGACCTTCATACTGCTTTGGAGGCATGTCGTCTTTTTCGTGCAAACGTTGTAGGTCCTCCCGTGCCTCCGGTGTATCTTTTGTCTTCCCATACACGCCCAAGAAGCCTAGTAGGTTCACGCAAAGGTTCTTCGTCACGTGCATCATGTCGATTGAAGAGTGGACCTCTAGGTCTTTCCAGTAGGGTGGGTCCCAAAATATAGATTTCTTCTTCCACATGGGTGCGCGTCCCTCAGCGTCATTCGGAACAGATAGTCAGTCGGGACCCTTTCCAAAGATTACTTTTAAATCATTGACCATAGCAAGTACGTGATCACCGGTATGCATGGCAGACTTCTTCCGGTGATCTGGTTCGCCTTTGAAATGCTTGCCTTTCTTTCGACATTGACGGTTGGTCAGAAGAAATCAACGATGCCCCAAGTACAGATTCTTCCTGCATTTGTCCAGGTATATACTTTCAGTGTCATCTATATAGTGCGCGCATGCGTGGTATCCCTTGTTTGTCTGTCCTGAAAGGTTAGTGAGAGCAGGCCAATCATTGATGGTTACAAGCAACAACGCATGCAGGTCAAATTCCTCCTGTTTGTGCTCATCCCACATATGTACACCGTTTCCAATCTAGAGTTGTAAAAGTTCTTCAAGTAATGGCCCTAGGTACGCATCAATATCGTTGACGGGTTGCTTAGGGCCTTGGATGAGAACTGGCATCATAATAAACTTCCGCTTCATGCACAACCAAGGAGGAAGGTTATATATACATAGAGTCACGGGCCAGGTGTTGTGATTGCTGCTCTGCTCCCCAAAAGGATTAATGCCATCCGCACTTAAACCAAACCATACATTCCTTGCGTCACCTGCAAACTCCTCCTAGTACTTTCTCTCGATTTTTCTCCACTGCGACCCGTCAGCGGGAGCTCTCAACTTCCCGTCTTTCTTACGGTCCTCTATGTGCCATCACATCAACTTGACATGCTCTTTGTTTCTGAACAGACGTTTCAACCGTGGTATTATAGGAGCATACCACATCACCTTAGCAGGAACCCTCTTCCTGGGGCGCTCGTCGTCAACATCAGCAGGGTCATCTCATCTGATCTTATACCGCAATGCACCGCATACCGGGCATGCGTTCAAATCCTCGTACGCACCGCGGTAGAGGATGCAGTCATTAGGGCATGCATGTATCTTCTGTACCTCCAATCCTAGAGGGCATACAACCTTCTTTGTTGCATACGTACTGTCGGGCAATTTGTTATCCTTTGGAAGCTTCTTCTTCAATATTTTCAGTAGCTTCTCAAATCCTTTGTCGGGCACACCATTCTCTGCCTTCCACTGCAGCAATTTCAGTACGGTACTGAGTTTTGTGTTGCCATCTTCGCAATTGGGGTACAACCCTTTTTTGTGATCCTCTAACATGCGATCGAACTTCAGCTTCTCCTTTTCACTTTCGCATTGTCTCTTTGCATCAACAATGACCCGGTGAAGATCATCATCGGGTACATCGTTTGGTTCCTCTTGATCTTCAGCTTCCCCCGTTGCAGCATCTTCAGCTTCCCCCGTTGCAGCATCACCGTATTCAGGGGGCACATAGTTGTCATCATCATCTTCTTCTTTGCTGTCTTCCATCATAACCCCTCTTTCTCCGTGTTTGGTCCAAACATTATAGTCTGGCATGAAACCCTTATAAAGAAGGTGGATGTGAAGGGTTTTCCGGTTAGAGTAAGACTTCGTATTCTTACGGATAGGGCATGACAACACATAAAACCATTCTGCTTGTTTGCCTCAGCCACTGCGAGAAAATCATTCACGCCCTTAATGTACTCGAAGGTGCTTCTGTTACCGTACATCCATTGTCGGTTCATCTCTGCGACATCATGAATAGATAAGTGATCAAATTAATAGAAGTTCATCATCACATTAAACCCAAAGTACATACATAGTTCTCATTGAACAACATATAGCTCTCGAGAGCATCTAATTAAACCATACATTGAAACTATGTAAAACATTTCAATGCGAAAACAAATGCGATCATAACCGCAACCAAGTTAACAATTGATCCAACGGCATAATGATACCAAGCCTCAGTATGAATGGCATATTTTCTAATATTTCTAATCTTCAAGTGCATTGCATCCATCTTGATCTTGTGATCATCGACAACATCCGCAACATGCAACTCCAATATCATCTTCTCCTCCTCAATTTTTTTCAATTTTTCCTTCAAGTAATTGTTTTCTTCTTCAACTAAATTTAACCTCTCGATGATAGGGTCGGTTGGAATTTCCGGCTCACATACCTCCTAGATAAAAAAATCTATGTCACGTTCCTCGGTATAATTGTCATAAACACTAAATGAAACTAATAGTTATAAAAGAAAATATATATACCACATCTGAATCATAGACAGGACGAGGGCCGACGGAGGCGGATACCAAAACCACCGCACTATATAATAACAAAACAATAATAAGTAAGAAAACTACACAAGTATCTATCCAAATCATACAAAGTAAGAACTTTTTTCTTTTAGAAAGAAGATAAGATCAAGAGGCTCACCACGGTGGTGCAGGCGACGAGATCGGCGCGGGCTATCAACGGCGTGAGGACGGGGACGGGACAGGATGGACCGCCGAACCTAGACAAATCTCGAGAAAAATGAAGTTTGGACAAGGAGCTTCGAGAGGAGAAAGCTTAAATGTGGCTTGGGCATTTCATCGAACACCTCATGTGCATCGGAGGTGAGCTAGAGCACAACACACCTCTCCTAAAAAAACAAAGCACTCCACTACTCTGCTCGCGGGTGAGGGGGTATATATAGGCATATCACTGGTCCCGGTTCGTGGCTGGAACCGGGACTAAAGGACACCCTTTTGTCCCGGTTTAAGCCACCAACCGGGACCAATGATGGTGGGCCAGCAGCGAGGCCCATTGGCCCCGGTTCGTCCCACTAACCGGGACCAAAGGGGCCAGACGAACCGGGACCAATGCCCCCACAAGGCCCGGCCTCCCCCCTAGCCTCATGAACCAGGACCAATGCCCCCATGGGTCCTGGTTCTGGGCTGAACCGGGACTAATGAGCTTATCTGGTCTGAACTAAAGCCCTGTTTTCTACTAGTGCTGGTGTTTCACGTTGAAGTAGCCCTTATTTTGCGAGCTGGCGTTGAGGTTGATCGCGCTTTATACAGAAAAGGAGAAAGGTTACGTTTAAAGAAAATGCGTAGAAAAATGCCGATCATGTTCGTTGGATGGCACCAAGGTTACGTTTCCAGGTGAACGTCCTCCTTTTTCTTGGGCATATACTTTTTGGCGCCGTCAAGTCACTGTCAAAGAATGTGATTAAAAATAAAGAGCATAAAGTGCAGCACTAAAGACTTTCGACGAGTAATTTGCTAAAAAAAGGACTCTAGACGAGTCGTCTTGGATAGAACAACATATGGTCAGGCTTCTGATGTCACTAGCACATATCAGCATGTACATATTTTCGAAGACAAACTATTCTCGTACATGACGATTCTTCTTCTTCCTCTTTTTTGAGTAAGATTCTTCTTCTTTCAGTTTACGCAATTTGTGTACTCTCGAAAAAAGTTTATGTATATGATTTATTGATTTGCTGGTCACTTGCGATTATCTTCACTGTGCAAAGTCCTTGCGACGCCCGTTCGTACGCACGCACACTTTTCAAACGCTTGAAACCTGAACACGCAGACGATAACAGCTCAGCATGCATGCATACACGCTTAAGCCCGTGCGTAGAAGCTGACGTCGTCGCTCCAATCTTCAGCCGAGTCGCCTACTGCAATCAGCACGTGTTCTTCCCAACCAAGAACTAGTACAGTACGAGCACATGCTGTCTCCTCCTATTAATCAACAAACTAAATTAATTCGCCGCCAACAACCGTGTGGGTTCGCGATTGATGACGATGCGTCGGCGCTCATCCATGCGTCCCGAAGTAGAAAGCGGCGGCGACAGGGAAGGCACACCGGTACCGCGCCGTACGCATGCCCCCGGACACTGAACCTGCACGCAGGCAAGCTGTCGGACGGCCGGACCGCCGACTACTACTACTCCTACTCGGCTTGGCCAGGTGCGTCGCTCCCTCAACCAACGCGCCTTGATTAGAACGTACGGGGCGGGTCGCAGTAATGCGCCGCTAATCCGTCCCACCACACTTGGAATTCCATGCTCCCCACATGCGTCCACTGGCTCCTCCACATACGCTGCACCTGCTGCCCCGAGATCTGGACGTCAACAGCCCCGGGCGCACGCGATCTCCGACCCGATCTCGGCGTACGGCGCCACGACCCGGTGCGTGTGCTTGCATGGGAACGGGAATACGACTATACGAGGTAGGGAGCCCGAGTCCAGTCAAAACATGCAGCTTAGCCATCACGTTGTTCAACGAACCTGCCCCGAAGCAAGCAGCCGCCCCACTTTGTTCCTACACTAGTAGTACTAATAAAGCCGTTGAACAACCACCAGCTCGATCCCCCTTTCTATTGCTTGCAGCCTCCTCCTTCCTCCGTCCAGGCCGCGGCTACGAGTTCTTCCGACTGGCCGGCCGGAGAGTTTCTCATCTCATCGTCTAATCGTCGGAGAGAGTGGTCCATCAGTTGCCTTCCCGCGTCTGAATTTCTCGTACAATCCCTGTGGCCTGTGCCTACAAGATGGAGAGGAGAGCGGCGAGGAGAAGCTCCGCCCACCACAGCCGAATGCAGATGCCGCCGGCGCCGGTGGGGCAGAAGCAGCACCAGCAGACGCAGACGCAGCGCCGCGGGGGGGCGAAGAGCTGCCAGAGAACGCCGCCGCCGCCGGGCTGCTTCACCATCCAGCTGCTCATGGTGTTCCTCTGGGTGGCCGCGTCGCTCGCCTTCCTGCCGCTCCTGCTGCCGCCGCTACCCCCGCCGCCGCTCTCGCTGCTGCTGCTGCCCGTGTGCCTGCTCGCCGTCCTCGCCGCGCTGGCCTTCGTCCCGCTCGACGCCCACAGCAACGTCGTCGGCGGCGGCTCGTCTTGTTTGTAGAGAGGCTGCATTTTCTTTTCCGTGTCGGTCAGAGCTAGTTGTTTCAGATCTAGCCTGTAGTACAAACTGTGAACCTTTTTTTAAGATTAGGATTGGGATTAGGATTAATTAACAGAGGACTACTTTTTGGCTTTGTAATCACTTGAATTCCGGCAATGTCAATTGAGATCTCACGGTATTTATGCTTATCAACTGAAAAGAACTTCCAGGAAGTGGAATCCATAAATCATTCGTTGAAACAAGAAAGAAAATACTCTGCGTGTCCAATAATAGTATAAGACCATTTTGCAAGCTATGTTAGACTGCAAACCGGACACCGCATCTGTCGACAAAGAAGGGACCAGTCCATAAATGGGAGCCGGCCATCCAAAACTAGCCGAATACATCAACCCTCAATTTTTTTTAAAAAATCTAATGCATCTGCACGTTCAAAATAGTTCCATATATCTAGTTTTAGTTTGAGATTAGTTTAAAAAATGTTCAAATGCAACAGTAGTTCTAATTTAAATATTACACTTCAACAATGTTGTCCTAGTTAAAAAAAACAAGCAATGTTGTCCTTGTTAACCGTCCACGGATGCTCAATCAGATCTATGTTCAGTTATTCATGAGTTGCTCGATGCCGAATTTGTTGATGTATTTCAACAAATTCATCAAATGTAGCCGGATTTTGATCTAGAAGTTCAATAGGATCATCCATGTTCTCAAATTCAAGACCTACGGCCGCATCCACGGTCATGTTGTGCATGATCACACAACATGTCATCACCTCCCACAAGGTCTCCAGATCCCATTGTTTAGCAAGTCTAAAAACAACTGCAAAACGTACCTGTAGAACTCCAACTGCACTCTCAACATGTTTTCTAGCCGCTTCCTGCTTTGACCAATTGAGTCAGAGCTGGTCTTGACAAAGGTAGCTCATGAAGAATAGATACTGTCAATCAGATAGTAGCCCATGTTGTATGCATGCCCATTGACAGTATAGTGGCAAGGAGGGTCCCTTCAGTCACCCTGGCAAACAATGGTGATCGCTGCAGCACATTAATGTCATTGTGAGACCTGGGCATGCCAAATAAAGCGTGTCAAGTTTAAAGATCCTATGATGCAAGTGCTTCAATAATGATCGTGGACTTCTTAACATGACATTGATATTGCCCTTTATAGCTTTTGGGCAGTTCTGCCATCTCCAATGCATGCAACCAAGAGATCCGAGCAAACCTAGCCACCCTCTTGCTTCGGACATTGCCAAGATCCTGTCTGTGTCTGCGACAGGTTGTTCTTCTCTTAGGTACCGAGGTCCAAACACCAAGACCACGGCATCTCCGCATGTGCTCTCACACATCTATAGGCACTAGTGGAGAAAGTGCTAGCCACAACTTTCGTTGGTGGCCCTGCATTTTACATCCGCGCCAGCACTATTTTTTTCAAATAGTGCTGGCGTAGGCCAAATCCGTACGCCAGCTTTACAAGCATAGTGCTGGCGTTGCTTGTTTTGTAAACGCCACAAATCTATTGGCCCATATACACTCACTGTTTGGAAACCACCGGTGACGTTGGTTTTCTTTGCATGCCATAGTTATTTTGTTAGTGCTGGCGTTCTTTTTGTTAGTGCTGGCGTTCTTTTATGCTTTTTTGCCATCATTATTTTTATAGTTTTTTTTATCATTTTAGGAATTTTATTTTTTACCACCAGTTCAAATTTTGAGTCTTATATTTTGTCAAGTCTTTCATTAATTTTAGTCTTTTTTATTTGGCCTGTGATTAGCTATGGCGTTGCCATTTTATCCAACGCCAACAATAACCTAGTAAAATACCTAAGTCCATCGCTCGCTCTCATTTCACACCCCACCCGGCCCGTCGTAGACACAACTCCCGTTGGACCAAAGCCGCTGCCGCCCCCGTCGCCGCCCCTCGCCGGCACCAAGGTTAGATCCACTCCTCCCTTCACGCGGACACGCCAAACGGCCGGAAATTGTAGTGATAATCGTCCGATTGCTATTGTTTCTCCCCTCCGTTGGCGGATCTGAGCTAGTTTAGTAGAAATTTATAGAATGTGTTATGTATGTTCTTCAAAGTTATCATTTTAGTTTTCTTTACACATTTATGTATAGGTTGACTGGTATATGTAAATCAAATAGCTTTGCATACATAATTTAATCTTATATATGGTAGTATGTGTATGTATAGAAGTCAGTTTGCTAGATCTTATTTATCAAAATAGATTCATAATTTTATCTATTCTACTTAATTAACAAAATCATGTCTTTCCAACACATGCAATATTCACTATAAAAGTATCTGATTTTGTTTTGATATAGCTCACACCAAGTATTTGATAATGAAACTTTACAAATCATATCTTTCCAACACATGAACTATTTTACATTGTATATTATCTTGATCGTATATATACGCAATGTGTTTGTAGGTCATGGCCAATTATGGAGGCAACAACGAGTCAGTGTGCGATGTGGACATGGCCAAAAATGAATTCTTAAACACTTTTGAGTATGTCATCAAGAGCGTGCAAGGGGCAAATGATGATCTAAAGGGGGATATTAAAGAGCTACACAAGGATGTTGTTTGGCTCATTCAGGAGACTAATCGTCTTAGGGACGAGAGGGATAAGCTCGTCGAGGATCGGGATAAACTGAAGGAGGATGGAGACGCCTCAAGGGTGAGAGGATTGACCTGAAGATGGACATAGATCATTTCAGAAGAGAAGGAGAGGCAGATAGAAAGAAGTTGATCCATCTAGGCATACTCCTTGCTGAAGATTAGTTTTTTAAGTAGCTAGCTAGCTCATCTTATTAGTTGATGATGATCGAGTAACTAGAGTACTTGAGTGAACTTTTGTGAAGTTTAATATCAACTTGTTGAGTTCATGAGCCTATTTATGTAATGATTATCTATTAAGTAAGTACCTAGTGTTGATGAGTATATTGCGTTCAGTAGTATCTATTAAGTAAGTAGCTAGTGTTGATGAGTAATTTTTTTATTACCAAAAAAATCATTTGCTGGCGTTGGACGAGTTGGCACGCCAGAGTTATGATGAACTTAGTGCTGGCGCTGGACTGGTGATATGCCATCACGATGTGGGATACTGCTGATATGTCCTCCAACGCCACCACTAAATTTTAGCAATGGCGTCGTGTGTCTACGCTAGCAAGGCTGTTTTTGGCACGCCATAGCTAGGCTTTTCTCCACTAGTGAGGTATTTTTCCCATGGATCAACGGTCGTGCCATATGCAAGCATCCGCAATGTGGCCGTGCACTTCTGGTAACCAGAGAACCCAATCCTTCCCACGACAACCTTCAAGATTAAGTAATCATCAAAGGACCAAACGCCATGGTAGAGGCGATCGAAGACATATTTTTCACATCCGAAAGCGGGCGGAAATTGTCAGCGAATAGGGCATTCGGGGCAAAGTGCTCTTCCATCAGTGTCAAATGATCGCGCGTCCTGTTGTGATTGAGAACTCATGACCCTTGATCGATCCCTGGAAATTGATAGCATGATCTTCCGCACGCTTGACGTCTGTAAGGACCCACTGCATCATCATTGTCTTATCCGTGTAGTCCTCCTTGTCGGACGATTCAACATAGTGCTTGTATATGTACTCCATATCTAAATCCATTGCTTCTTAGAAGAAGGGACAAATTAGCAGCGGCATTTTACCGACCACTTGTCGGGCATGGTGAGTACCGTAGGGGCGGATGGTACTTGTGCGGCGGATGGGGGTGATGTGTGGAACGGTGATAGAAGACAAATGGCGTGGAGCCCTGGTGTAGCGATGGAGGTGATATCCAGCAAGGGTGTGTTGGGGTGGCCGAGGTGGTGGAGCGGTGACGAAAGCAAGAGAAAAAACTGATGCACAAAAAGATGGGAGGATGGAGGCGTGGGGTCCGGGAGGGGTTTTGGATGGCCTGGGGGTGTTGGTGCCCTACGTGGCTGTTGTCTGGACTCCCACAAAGCCCACAAGTTTGCTTCAAGTTTGCGGAAAAAAACGCGTACAAACCGGTTGGGGGAACGATACAGGCTCGGGTTGGATGGCTAAGGGCGTCTGGACTGTGCTGTCCGGATGGCTGCAGACAGTTTGCGGGTTCTCTTTGGAGAAGCCTAAGCTTAGCTTGCAAAATGGTCTTATATTATGGGACGAAGGGAGTGTTTTCTATATTTTACTATATGTATGTCCGCGTGATACAATGACACATGGATTTGAAATTGTATTTTGATTTCATCAAATTCAGCTACCTCTCGTCTCTTTGTTCAAAAAGTTACTAGTTGTGATTTGACAATGGAGAATTTGTTATTTCGAAGGTGATTGAGTTGCACATGATTATAAGATCTAAAGTTGAACATAATTTTGAAGGTGTAAACTATCTACTTTCAACTGAATGTGTAATCAACTATCAAGATTGTCAGGGACGGAGCCAGAGATCTTACTAAAGAGGGGCCAATGAAAGAGATAAAATGTTGAGGGGGCTAAACATATAAATTTGGAGCATTTGAACTAACAATTTAAGGTTGCTTTTAGAAAAAAGACTACCATGGGGGGAGTTTTCAACTCTGAAATAAGAGTTTCTTAGTTCACTTCCAAACAGAGGCTCCTTTAGTTTTGACTTTTTTGTTGTAATAACCTTCTTTTGTATATAATCCAGTACAAACTTCTTGAATTACGTCATGGCATTGCTCTGATTATCATTTTTAAACTCCACTTGAGCAGAGTTTTTTTTAAAAGAGAGTGGCCTCCTTTTGATTTCATTTAACTACCATAGTGTCTTCCACAAACTACAATCCTAAAGATCAAAATAGGAGACCACACGATGCATGAAACAGAGGCGATGGTTTACCTTGTGGCGGATGTCAGTTGTTCGAGCCCGCTTATCTCTAGCCCGTGAACTTAGTGGATACTACAATAGAGATAGCACCGAATTTTGCCAATGCAATATGAGCAGCCAGCAGACTCAAATTACTGCATTTCCATAAGATGGCGGTA